AGAGAGTTTACAAGACCTACATCTGTACTGCATCAGTGGTAGTTCAGAAGTGAAAAGTGAAAATTTAACACTCTAAATATGTCTCTGCATGGTTTGGCACGTGGTAGTATCCAGGCCTAATGGTGGACACATGTATGTGAATTTGCAGAGAAGACTTGTCTGGCTCTATGGAGGAAAGGATTCAAGACTCTGTGAAGGGCTTGAATCAAGCTGGCTCAGTTGGGAGCTGGCTGAGTTGGTGCCACCAATTGAAGGAAAGAGTTATTTGGAGGAAAGTCAGCAGGTCATTAAAAGCCAAAGACAGCARGTCTTGATGGAGCATTAGACTGGACATGTAGGCATATTGCTGGAACCATTTGTTATTTTCCTGATATCTAAAGAAAATGTGTGTGTATTTATTTTTCCTTGCCCTATGAACCTTTTGAGAGGTTTATAGGCATGAGTTTAGAGACCCATTCTCACCAGTGTAGATGAGTTTTTCAGAGTTGTCATGTTTGGCCTCCTGGGCAGCKCACAAACTCATAGCCCATCTGTTTGGGAGAAGGTAAAATTCTTCTTCCCCTGAAATGCTGAGTGCCATGTGCAGAGGTTAAGCTGGTGTGGTTCTGTCAATGTTCCAAGGCAGCATCCTCACAGAAGAGGACTGACCAGTGCTTTCTGTGAATGTCCAGGCAATTCGGCTTCTGCCCCACATTTGCACCAGGGCTGTGACTAGCTGAGTGTCATCTCTGCTTGCATGGGTCCCACACAGACCAAATGTTGAGTGATGATCTGCTTGATCAGAGAAATCCCTTGGTAATGCCTGGCTATTGGCAGAGCAGATATGCCTGTAGCTGGAGAGGGATCAGGAAAGAACATGGCCAATGTGCTTTTAGCTCTAGAGAACCAGGCTACTTGTGATGGCTGGGACACCTAAGATATTGGCAGGCCAGTTGTCTAGCCAGTTACCCTAGAGGGGTTCTTATGACCAAGTTCATCCAAGCTCATGTCAGGGATCTYGATGTCAGGCTGTTGCTTGGTCAGAAGGGAGCACTGGCTGATCAGAGCTCCCCTTTCCATTTGAAAGTCCTTCAAATGCTTCTGATGCATTTGTGAGAAGTAGCCTCAGTCCTGAGAAGGCCATAAGCAACATCACTGCACCCTGGAGCTAAGTGAGTCCTGYTCCTGCTTTGAGACTCTTTACAGCTCGTGTCTCAGGCCTGCAGGACAGAAGGTGCCYGGAGCAGGATGCAGTGCTGTCTTTYAAGGGGGCCCCTATTCAAAATGGGGCTATTTTCTGCCAGGCAATCTTCAAACAAGGCAAGCCACCACAGTGCTCTGAAATACCCTGTGACAAAAGGCAAACGTGTTTAACGTTTGCTCAGCTGTTCTCTGACATGCAGCAAAGCTGACCTGGCTGCTRGAAACTGGAGTCTCTCCTCCCCATCATCCCATTCCCAGCTTACTGCTGGCTTCCCAGCCCAGGGATTCTGCGGAACTTGCAGAGCATTTCCCATCTTGTTTGCTATTTAGTTGCACTAATACTCTTAATATTCCAGTCCTGGAGCAACTGAGGGGAGGGAATGAACTTTTGGRGTGGTAGGCGTAAGGGACTGTGACCTGATGCTGCTTTTTTCATTCACAGTGCCAACTTCAGTTGTTGGTCAAACCACTGACTTCTCTTGATAGCAGACAGTCCCTCTGCAGAGTTTGTTTCCAGAGGCTGTGTTACTAAATGGGGTTTGAGGCTAGCACAGAAGAGAGGGATATCTCTGCTAGAAAAAGATCATAAGCAGGATCAACTGGAACAGCTATGGCATGCCTTGCATCATCTAGGAACTGATTTCTCATGGGGAGGAGAACCATAGGACTGAGTAGTCTTTGAGGGTATGGCCATTTCTCAGCTGTGGGCAGCACAGCCAGAACAGCTCTACAAAAGAGTGGCCCATTTGTAGCTGCTTCCTTGAGCTGGCCTGTTACTGGTTGGGGTTGAGCTAGATCATGTCCAGAGGTCACTTCCAACCTCAATCCTTCTGTGCTTCTGGCCAGCAAGCTGGTGTAGACAGTAGCAGGGACATCGCGGGCTGTGGGAACAAGATTTTCCCACCATCAGCGCTCCATCGTCACTCTTTGTGACAGAAATGTTCCTCTGAAGTTTTTGTAAAGGAGTTTCCTGGAAAATTAAGTATATTCATCCTCTAAGTGAGTCACAGTGTTCAGCACTCAGGCCTCCAGACATGTAATGTGGGAGAGAGGATAAGAATGCAGCTGGGGTCAGACATAGCTTCAACAGATTTGAAGCTCTCATGAAGCAGCTAAATGGTAGCTGTTTGGATAAGGCCAGGGGCTCTTCMACTCCTGCTTTTCAGGACTGATGATGATGAGGGAAAGATGGAAGCTTTGAATAATAATAAGTTGAATAGTAAGAAGTTCGGCACTGCCTGTGATAAATGGCATATTGGGAAGTTGCATGAAGTGCTCTGAGCAGTCAGACCAAAGCCACTCACCTGTAGAAAAGCCAGCCATTACTTGCAAAAACATTGTGTCAGTGATGGTTCAGAGCCTTTGTGTCTGTGAGGAGGAAAAACAATTTGGAGATATTTTCTCACCACATAAAATCATCAATGAATGAAATCTGAAAAAAACCCTTTGTGYGGGTTTATCAGCAGTCCTTAGTACAGGAGATGAAGCATGGGCCATCTGCAAGAGGGCAGGCCCCTCTGGATGGGGCAAAGTTTGCTGTGAAGGAGCCAGGACATCCAGGTTGCTGAGTGCAGCTTCTGGCTCTGAGCAGCAGAGGAGTCTGGCATTGGAATCTGCATGTTTTCAGCACCCTTCACATCAAACCAGTGGCTGAATCTTACAGCCACCTCACTGGCATTCTGGATCACCTTCCAAGCAGTGCCTCTGGGGGAATGAAAACATCTTTTCCACTAAATGAGCCTACTTGATAGCTTGTTGCAGCATGAGGCTGGTAAAGAAAGACATGACTACCAGGGAGAGCTGTGAAATAGGCAGGAGAGCAGAGGAAGCAGTATGTGAATGTAGGATCATGCTCACATGGATGTGATGCATCACTTGGCCTGGCTGCACAGGGGTCTGAGAGTGCAATGCCACAGAGAATTTGGTGTGCCTGGGACTGTGATGGGAAGTGATGTAGCATCCTCACCTGGGGTATTTGGCAGCTAATAAGACAGAACCCTGTGTCCTTTGCACGGTGTTCTRTGTGACCCTAGAAGTCTTTGCTACCTCCGTCTCTTGTTCAATGACGGGATGCTGTGTGCAAACTGTGTACATTTTGCTGTGCGCAAAGTTTACAGCAGCTGCCATAATGCCAGGGACATTGGATCAAAACCTAGGAAAGTTGATACCACACCGGGGTGAGCTACAGGGCTTCTTGCATTCTTGGAGAATCTCCAGTTTCTTTTGCCAACCTGTTAAATGAAGATAAATCTCCTCCTCAGAGGAAGTGAAAAGCCATACATGGTTCTTCAGATGCTGCGACTGACCACTGGGAAGAACCTACAGAGAACCTGGGRTCTATATCACCCTGCATAAGATATGTAAAATGAGCTGGTTGGTGTAAACTCCCTCATAATCAAGGAGGAAAACCAGGCATTGCTAAAGCACGGATTTTCTAATTTGGATATAAGGTCCCCTAATGAGGGAAGGCTTCTAGAGGTGCAGATAACTAGATCTGATGTAGATACTGACCACACAAGAGGGCAGTCACCAAACTTAGCTGTCTGAAGTCAAAGAAAAGTTGCTTCTTCAGGTATTCAAAACTATGCAATCTCTACAAACTTAGAACTTCTACTCAGCCCTGGTGAGGCCACATCTGGAGCTCTGGGCTCCCCAGGACAGGAGGGATGTGGAGCTGCTGGAGTGTCCAGCGCTGGGCTACGAGGATGATCAGGGCCTGGAACATCTGCCCTAGGAGCAAAGGCTGAGGGAGCTGGGCCTGTTCAGCCTGGAGAAGAGGAGGCTGGGGTGGGATCTGATAAATGTATAGAAATACCTCAAGGGAGAGAGTGAGGATTCTATGATTCTGTGAAAACCTCTCAGAAGTTATAATCTCATGCTGGTTCACAGGGCTATACCATGTCCCCGTGGGTGGTAGTTTTAGCGCAATTTCAGTTGCAGCTCCTTTTTGCTTTATTTTCAGCTTCATCCTTTTTGCTCTTACCATACATTGAAAATTTCTTTTGCATTCATGGCAATCCTGGGTCACCAATGACAGAGGTGGCACATACCACTTCTTAGAAGAATCTCAGTACTTCCTGCTTTAGGCAGGAGTTCAAAAGCTTCTGGAATATGGGAGCTCTTTGTGGGAGCTCATCCGCCTTCTCTTTTGAAACCCATGCACAAAGTCACATTCAAGCACAGATCTATGTACATATTTAGATCAGAAGGAGCCTGTGGGGACCTCCAARCTCCCATTCAAGCAGGGCCAGCTTCAAAGCTAGATCAGCTCATGGGTGGATGTCCTTCAGCCTTTCCAGGCTCCTGTTCTAGGCCTGCACTGCTCTCATGGTGATTTTTTTTGTCTTGCATCCAATTAGATTTTTTGTTGACCCTTGCCTCTTTTTCTACTGCTGTGCACCCTTAAGGAGAGTTGAGCCCTGTATTGCTTGGGGTGGCAATATCCAACTGCAGGAGGTAGAGACACAAGCTCAAACCCAACCTCTTCCTCAGCCCTCTGCCCACTCACTGAAGCTGTTGCAGGCACCCAGCAGGGATCAGAGTCTGCTCCTGCCACTTCTGCACCGCCTGCACACGAACCAGCCCTGCTCTGCTTGTCTTTCTGCAGGAGTGAGGTCTGGGTTGGTACAGCCTCCCCATTCTCCTCCTTAGCTCCCCTTGGTTTGGTGCCTCCTTTGGCCGCACCAAAGCTGCTCTAGCAGCACCATGGATCTGTAGCACGTCTCTGTGCCACGAAGTCCCCAGCATGCCATCACTGATAGGTGCGTTAGTGCTTCAGATCAAGCCTGCATCTCTTCATGACACTCTTTCTCTCACAGTTTTACAGCTACGGCTTCAGCAGAGAAGGACTCGTGAACAGCTGGCAGACCAGGGCATTATGCCACGTAAGTATCTTTTCCTGCTTTTTCACCCATCCCTGGCTCAGGGGGCTGACTTCATGTTCGGCACTGTTGGGGCACTCTGTGGGGCACCGTCTCTCTGCTCAGACTTTCCCTCAGCTCTGAGCATATTGTTCCTGGGGTAGACTTCGCTTCCTACCCCGTAGCTACGCTGTGTTTCCTAGTGCCGTAAAACGGAGCCCAACACCTGCCATGCAAGTTATAATGTTGCTGCTTAAGCTGAACTCAGGAGAGCTTCTCAAATACACCTTCTTAAAATCCATCTGTGTAAATCTCCATCGCTGTAGCAGGAYGGCATATCCAGCGCCAAGATAACTCAGAAAGCACTTCATGAAGGCAAGCTTCTCATGTAAAAGCCAGTGGAGGGGGTCCCATGATAAGGCAGGATTAAGCCCACAGACAGGGGAAGAAGTAGAGAGGACCCATTCCATGAGGCTGTTGGAAAAAAGAAAGCAGTGGATTAGCTGTGCCCGATTTGAGGCACAGCCTCTGGATCAGGAGACTGATGCCCGGAGATATGGTGCGGCCAGCGAGGATCCCACAGGGGCAGAACTGGCAAAGCATGATTGAGGCCATCTGGGCCTGCCTGCTGCAGAGTGCCAAATGCCTGGAGATATCTGTGCTTACGCCCCTTTGACACCATTCATCAACCTTGCAGTCACATCAGAAGGACAAGCTCCATCCTAGCGTCATGATGTAACCATTCAGCATCAGAAACCAGCTGGTATCAGGCTAGAGCCCAAACCGTAAGCGAATGAAGATGATGCCCTTCTGAACCTGCACCGCCCATCATCATTAAACCAGCAGCACCAGCACAGAAGAGACATTGCTGTCTCAAACTGGCTCAGTGGATAGCCCCATCCTGACCTAGTTCATCCTCCATGTGCATGAGTCTGTGGTTAGTTAGAACTCAGGTAGCAGATTATCCTGGAATAGCTATGGAAAGTATCCTGGAAATAACTTTGGAAAAGTATTTCCATATCATCATGGGTCTCTTTGGGTCAACACAGCTTTCCAAAGGCAAGGCCACTTCCATTGCTTATGGCTGCCTCCTAACCTCAACAGTGACCTACTGTGTCACAGGTCCCCTTGGGTTCATCTTTAACTAGCAGCCAAGCAGCTCACTAACAGCATGGTTCTAGCACTGCATGCTGCACTTTATGTCCTTTGCTACCCCTTTCTCATGCAGCTGCCTTCCTAAAGGACAGAGCTCAAGGTAGCCAGCTACAAAGGTCGTCTTGGTACAACACTGTCAGCATTAAGCTTTAAGAAACCTCGAGTGAGATGACAAAAATCATGTCTGTCTATATGACCACAGTGTTTTAAAAAATGATTAGTGCTGGTCCTTTTCATTGTTCTTCTTTTCATTTCTTTAAGTATTCAGATTTTATGTTGCCTGCTACCAAAACGGCAATGATTTTAATCACAGGACTCCAGGAGCTGGAACTTTGAGCAAAGCAGTGTGACATTTGGGGTAGCATTGCAAAGGCTGGCAATATATATAGGCAGTGGGCAGAAGTCTCCTGTACTTGCCTTGCTCTGTGGGACAGTCTATGGGACTGTGCTTTTGCAAGTGATGCCTAACACTTTCAAATTGCACACACTGCAAGCCACGTATTGGACCCAATTTATTTGATGGCAACTGAAGGGTCTTTTCCTGTTATTTGAAGTTTCATTACACTCCCAACTTATGCTGACATTTTGCAGTCTGGTTTCTGTCCAAGGAGGCCATTTTGGGAAGCTTAAGCACAAACAGTTCAATCATTGRAAGTAATAAAAGAAAGGCGCTTTTGGCATATAAAAATAAATATGCAGAATGTAACTGCTGTCTCACCTCAGGAGGATGGGTCAAATGTTAGTACTTAATAAGTGGGAGTCCCATCCAATCTCTTTATGGTTTGGGTATGTGCAGATATTCTTYACAAAAAATACAGCTTTGTTTAATCACATCTTCCCAAAGCCTGTTGGGCCAGAGCACCAGCAGATGAGACGGGCCCTAGGAGATGCACTGAATCACAGCCTATCTTATTCTGTAGGGGAGAAGAAATGAACTCTGAGGAGTGTAACCCACTGTGGTTACAGTCCTTTGACAAAAGCCATTCCAGAAAGAGCAGGGAGTATGGCCAGGTTGAGAGCTAGGTGTGGTACCAGACTTGAAGCTTGCACTTGGTCCCATGTTGCATATCAGATTTTGCATGATTTTTCAATGCAGACTTTTCAGGCAGATTTTTCARTCCATTGGTTATACTTTCATCTGATACAAAACCAGTACATACAGACTTTTATTTTGTAACAAACACATTTTATACAGAGAGCAGAAAGGGATATGGAAGATCAGAATAATAGAGCAGCACTGCATAAAAGCTTTGAAGGTTTGTAGGAATTTATAGAAACTGGGGCTGGTGAATATACACAGAGGCGATGAGTTGTTAAGCACTGTGGCTGTAGCACAGTAAGCATGAAACCCTGGAGTAATTTTGAAGAAGCTGATTGGGTTTTGATGTCTAAGTTAATAACTCAGTGAAGTACTGGTGGTACCTAAGCCTAGTCCAGACAGATGAATGCTTTTACGCAAACAAAACCTAGCCTATGTTTGACATAACAAAGATCAATATACTGCCATTATATACCTTAGCTCTGTCTGCATCTTCCTGGATATTTCGAAGARATGGTGTTTTTAAGAGATAGGAGAGCTTCAGATGGCCCCATCACTGGAAAGAGCAGGAAACTGCATCAAGGAGGATGCTTGAGAGCAAAGGGCAGTAGCATTGCACAAGCCTTCAGGTTTGAAGCTGGACCCTTATCAGCAGGTGTTTTCTGGTGGTAAATAGGACAACTACCTGGAAAAACTACGAAAAAAGATTTTTGGGAGCAGAACCCGTCTCCTTCTTCAGGTTCAGTGAGTAGGAGATACCTGGCACTACATTATGCACAGTTTTATTGTCATAGTGAAACTGGTACAGACGGGGCAAACATTTTAAATCAGAAGTAGCCCTGTGGGGCCACTTGCACSAAAGCAGGCTGCAAAGGCCTTCCCATGGCCCTGTGCAGGGGCCAGCCCTGGACCCCAGCCAGATCCTGCTCACTTGCAAAAGAGAGTAGGAGGCTGGCTTGAAAGATCAATGATTTCTCAAGGCAGGACTCTCCTTACTGCAATGGGCTGCAGRAATAGCTGCACATGAGGTGCAGACCCTCTTGCTCCACACAGCCCCATCCTCTGACAGGAAAAAAATAAATAAAAACAACTAAAAATAGTTCTAAGATTATCAACCACAGCAGCTCCATTCTGTTGCCTCCGGACCCTCAGCCATTTCAAGAGGACATGTGTTATACCCAGCAAGTTGTCTGAGTAACTGTTGCTAGTCATGCCTTTATTTGTTTTGCAGACTAATACAAGCTGCAGTATCCACATATTTCCTCAAAAAACCTTGGTAAATGATTAAATTCTGCAACACTTTCTTCATGAATAGCATGATGTTTGGCTTGGTGAATGCCCACGGCAAACTCCTAACATTAGGACTTCACACTGAAKGGGGCTGTAAAAATAATCTCTCTTGCTTCGTTTTCTTTTGTGCACCATCTTATTTTGCTTCTGATCAAACTCRCTGTCACAAATCCTCATGGCTGCTCACCGGAGCACAGCTCAGTAGCACTAGCTTGTCTCCACGTGCACACTTCAATAGCAGCAGGAATGTGCCATATGTATTGTCCTGTGACTCACTTGAAGTTRTGGGTGTTGCCTACCAATAATCATCAGATGGCCTCCAAAAATCTCCAGGCTCTCCCCTCTCTTGTCTTCTTACTCGTCTAGACTGAGGCAGGATTTCATGTCCCGTGTGAAAAGAAATTCTGTCCTCACTGGAACCCATTCATGACATGGAAAGAAAACTGAATACTGCAAAAGAGTTGTAGCAGGCCAGTTCTGTGTGTCAGGATACTTTGTCTTTCCCCTGGGCCCACTGAGAATGGATAACTCTGCTTGCTTACATAGCTAGAAAAGGATTTCTGCAGGAACTGAGAAATATTAACTCCTTCACCGAAAGTTTTTGCTCCAGTTTTCACAGGATGAGCATAAACATGGAAGTGTGCAAGATTTGCACAGCCTCCAGCACAGATTGCTCCATGGGACTGGTGCCTGCTGGTCCAAAGCCGGAGATCACTGTCCTTCCCTCAGGAGCCCCTCTGTCTTTCAGGAGATGCTGAGAGCGTGGTCTGTGGTCCTGCCCAGGGAGGAACCACATTTCACAGAGGCTGCTAGGCAGGGACCGGACAAGTATCTAGTGAGAGRAAACTTGAAGGAGGCATAGAGGTAGACCACAATGGCAGAAGGGCAAAATACCAGTGTCCCTCTTTGAAATATGCTGGCTAGAGGCCTTTCTTGCACAGCCCCAACAGGCAAGACAGGTCTTTTGGGTTCTCCTTGCAGGTGAGGTCTTCCCTCAGCTTGTTGCTTCTCCCAGATCTTTGCTTTCTGGGRCTGTGGTGCTAGGAGGCACCAGAGCCTGCAGGAAGCAAGCCAGGGAGGAGCTGCCTCTGCTCTCTGACGTGTTCCACTAAGCACAACACTCCAAAGCCTGCACCATCTCCCTGCCCATGTGCCTTCCACGCTCCCTGTGCTCTCCATCCCCTCTGCTCTCTTGCCATGGTCTGGCTGAGAATGAGGGATTTCCCGGAGCTTTCCTGAGTTATTTTTAGTAACTGCAATAAAGACAGTGGCTAGTTTGTGTTGCTATTTTTATAGCACTCATTAAAATGCTGTTGCTGAATGTCCCGGTGGCTGCTTGCTTCTGCTTTTGTGCTGACTGCTCCTCTTCTTTCCTGTTGCAGCACTGAAAAGCCCATCTGCATTCCATGAACAACGAAAAAGTCTGGAGCGAGCCAAGGTAAATGCTGCACCCATTCTGATGAGGGAATGTGTGGGGTTTGGAGTCAAAAACACCTCCCAGCACTGTGTCCTCCATCTAGGCTCTGTGGCCAAGGATGAGAATTAGGGACTCTCACTCGCTTCTAGACATGGTGGGGTCAAATCAGGGTTTATATCTACTTAGACACACCTTTCCCCAAGCAGCAGACATTTGAAGGACATAGGGGCCATCTGTTCCCAAAGCTCTGGGGTGAGGGGTGTATCTGCATGTCCTGTGGCTCAGAAGGGTGAACTTTTCTCAGACAACCTGCAGGGAAGGACAGAAATACCACTTTGATGACTTTGGGGGCTTGGTGACATGGAGGAGAAGCCAAAAAGACCCACAGGGTACAGGAGGTTGCAGAAGCCCCTTGGTCATCATCCCCCCAGGTTTTACAAAAGTCTGTGGACAGAACAGAGCAATATGGCATAGAATCACACATCATAGAATCTTTATGGTTGGAAAAGATCTTCAAGATCATCAAGACCGAGGATTGATAGAGCTTCCAGTAAAAAAACTGGCTGAAACTACTGCTACTGCTCTGTTTTCTGAGCTAGGTGCACAGCTTGTTCCTCACTGTACTGGTTGCTCTTTCCTCCTGCTCAAGTCTGTGAGATTAGAGGACAAGCAGCAAACAGGATAGGAGCTGAAGTATTTAGCAAGTGTCCAGGAGGAATGTGGATGCCCTTTGTCAACTGCAGCAAGTCCCCTGGGAACTACTATTCGTCATTTAATGATAGGCTGCTTTTAGTTCAGCATCACAGCTTAGTCCTTATGTGTCTCGGGGCTAAGCAGGCCAGGCTTCCACCAGCTCCTTTATCTAACTGTGCTCAGGCTTCCCTAAATRCTAGTGAAGGCAGAGATAAGATAAGTAGTCACTTCCAGAACACATCGAAACTGCTTGTGATGCGATCACCTTCTGGGAAATCCTGAGCTATGGAGGTATGTCCAGACACATCATGACAAAGGGATTGGTCACACAGGTTCTACTTGAACGTAAGATTGTGTTTCATTAATCTGCAAGACGTGCTTGCAAGCACACAGAAAAACATTTTTTTTGCAAGAAGGAATGACGGTGAAATATGAAGAAGTGCTCTTCTGAACTTAAACACACTCCAAGTCACTTGCCCTGCGTCTCCTGCAGTAATGAATGGCTAGCATAAGAAACACAATACAACTCTGAAAAATTAACACGCTTAGAAAATTTCAAGCAGTCCAGAGTATCCTTGAAGTGTCATATATTTTACAGTTTAAGTATACATTTGTGTCTCTTGGTCTTTCCTTCAAAGACTTTCACTGGCTGGTTGCCTGGGGAAAAGGGAAGGATGGACTACAGTATCTGAAAATGCCTGAATTTTCAGAGCATGCTAACAAACACACTAATGAGCACAGGGCTTAACAAAAATATACTCCTTTGCCAGGATGCCCTGCTTAGAACTGTGACAGGGAAGGAGCAGCAGCTGTTTCCAGATAATCATTCAATAGCATTTGCTTTTTCAGCTGATACTTCTCCAACTTGATATTCTGCAAAAAGCAAGCAGATAACAACCACTGCTTTCATGTGTTTCGAAAGCCTGCTGCCCTGGCTGATGCTAAAAAAATAAAAACACATCTAAGGTCTTTCTCCACCATTTGCAACCGTGACACAAATGCAGCCTATAAACAGGAAAGGTCAAAAGGAGCTCACATCACARCAGCACGTCAGCATCACACAGGGTGAATACTGGGTTTAATATGTTGATACCACATCTGTAGGACAGTAATTCAAACCTAAGTCGGGACCTGACCTGCAGTTTAACCAGAAACGCRTTCGGTGAATTTAACCGATGATTTGAGTGCAGACCCCAACTAGCTCTGACCTGGCAAGGAAACCAGTCAAACCTATACATAGTCCAAGCAAGGGATTGTGTTGGTGAAAATAAACTGGGGAAAAATGGGGGGGAAGTGTAGGAATTGCAAAGGCTTCAGTAAATAAAATGTCTTTTATTTGTTTAAACATGTCACAGGCTATTTAGGAGGCTGGCATCAGGCCAGCTCAGCAGACTTTGAAGTCGATGTCCTGTAACAGATTGTGGATTGGAGGACAGAGAACAGGCTGGCTTTCGTGAGGCCGTCTGGCTCGGCAGGGCTTTGGCTCTCGCTCCTCGCACTCCAGCACGCGTGGCAGGGAGGGACCCCGGGGGCAGTTATTGTACATCTGCCCCAAAGCACAACAGCCCCGACAGCTCATTCCTGACAGATGTGACTACGGGTGGATCTGCCATCCCTCTGAGGAAGCCACTCCAGTGCTCTCTAACCTGCACTGTCAGCAAGTCTTCCCAGATTGCCAGCACAAGCCTTACTGTTGCCGTTCAAGCCCATTACTTCTGCTAGGCACAAGGGCAGGCAGAACTGTTTATCTTGTTTCTTGTAGYCCATATTGTACGTATTTTGCATCCTGTTTTTCTTCAGATTTCTCTTCTGTGAACCAGTCAATGCCCCTCACTTCAGTCTTGCCTCATTGATCTCATTTCTTACACACAGGACTTCTGTTGCTATCCCACAGACTCTTCCCTTGAGTCTTTTCAGATGCAGGATCCAGAAGGGGACTTCACTATTCCTAGGACTCATCTGATATTGTTCTTTCTGTCTCCTAGAAAGTTGCTCACTGGCTTAGGGACAYGGTTCAGGTCGTGATCACTAGATTCTCCAGAGCTTTTATATTTTCTTCTATATTTACATAATAATGAATTATTGCTGAAAGTCTCTGTTGAAARGCCAGCGTAGAAATGTCTCCAGTGGATTAACATTGGCTCTTCATCTGCCTCAGCAATTAATCAGCTGCCTTAGCTGTGGCTAACCATGACCTGAATATAGTCCTTTCTGATTCCTTCCTGAACTGTATCCAATGTATTTCAGATTATTTCTTCATGTTGTTTTGCATTCTAATCTGTTTAAATGATTCAGAATTAGTAAGTATGTCTTCTATCATCCAAGATGTTAATGAATATATTAAATAGTAGGGGAAATTGCTGTAGAGTACAATTTGACATATTCCTCTATTTAGACTGTGAACTATTTCTGATTCCTTAGGTGACTCTCACCTGTAGTTATGTTTCTTTTTTATGATAGTCTCATCCAGACCAAACTTTTCTGGCTTGCATATGAGAAAGGCTTGTGAGATAATGTCAAAACATGCTTAAAATCAAGCTTCATGGCATTCTTTATTCTTATAATAGAAATCCCTAATCTCTCCATAAAAGGAAATTAAGTTGGTGTGACATCATCTGTTCTTGATGATTCCATTCTGGCTATTGTTCACCTCTTAGTTATCTTCAAAATACATTTATATAGATAGTTTGATTACTTTTTCAGATTGGTTTACAATTTCCTGGTTCCTTTTTTCCCGCTCTTTTATATTTCAAAAAATATGCTCTTCCTTGGCCAGTTTCCTGGAGAATTACAGATACTTACAGATAGTGGCTATTATGTTGTGTAGCTCAAACTGTTTGGAAATATTGAATTTATCCAAGTATTCTCCAACCTGCTTTCCAAGTTGATAACTGGAATTTCTATTCTCTTGATGCTGAAGATTTTTGGCTCACTCATCTAATTGATAAATAGCCATTCTTTTTTTTTTTTTTTTTTTTTAGTGAAGATGATTTAAAAAGGCATTAAATACTGGGGCCATCTGAGTAGCACCCATAATTATTTCTCCCATTTAAGGAACACCGACAGCCCTTTCCATTCCCTTCTCCTGGCCACATAAGTTCTTATAAAATTTGTTTTTCACAATCCTATACGTGCTGTACTATGGACTATACAGTTTTGCACTAGCTGTTTAGGCTGTTCTTTTACATCTGTCCTTAACAGGTCAAGCTTTTTGAACCATGACCAATTTTTGTATCATTTCTTCTTGTATCTCAACTCACCAAACAGCTAAAAATTTGCTAAGTAAGTTATTCTCTAGCTTTAATTCACCAAGGGCTACCCTTGCATTTGTATTCCTGAGGCCACCTTCCCCCAGTGCTGCCTTCCCCGGCTCTCATGGAAGGTGCCTTACATTTTCTAAAGCCATGAGCAAGTTGGCACAAGGCTTTAGGGAGTCCTTCCTTGCAAGCAGCAACAATCTGCAAAGGGGAATTTCCCAACCCCACACCACAACTAGGGTGAGAAACTGCAGAGCACTGGGACTCTAGGAAATTGAGGCCTCCTGGTTGGCTTGCATAGAATGAGTTTGGGAATCTTGAAAACTTGCTCAGTCTTGTAACTCATCCCAGAGTGCCAGACTTTCAACAGAAAGCACTTGCTAATGCTACAATGGGGAGTTGTCTCGGAGCAGGTCTCAAAGGCAACACAATATGCTGTCAGGATCAGATCCACCACTGCCATGAAAGAGGTATCACCTTTCCCATGAGCTTTCAGGACACCTTATGCATGAAAAGCTCAAAGAAAACTGGGAAGGAGACTGTTTATCAGTGATGACACTGAACTGTCAACAGTTCCATCAACACTGTTCCTTTTCTGAAGAAATTTTGTCCAAGAACCAGCATACTTCTGGGTGAAAAAAAAAGTCATTTAGGAACTCACTCAACTTAGGGTTAAATAAATCCTTTAACAAATGGAATGGCACAGGGGCTGCTGCTTTTTGTACCTTATTGATGAGTCAGGTTATATTCTCTGCATTTGTGTTTTGCAGACTGAGGATTATCTCAAGCACAAGATCAGAAGCAGGCCTGAGCGATCAGACCTCGTCAATATGCACATTTTACAAGGTAAGATTGCCAGAGCGCCTCCCACATGCTCCATGTATCTTCTACCTTGTATTTCAAGATTCTCAAGCCTTAGATGGGTTCCCTTCAGGATGGGAGTTCATCATGATTAACTTCACCCCAGCTGCTCATGATAGGCAGAGTCCATGGGACCAAATGTGTTTTGGTACCTCATCCAGGTACCAAAGAAGGCAGACATAGGCAGAAGGCACATTTTTGTTTTTGCCCTAATTAATTATATTAATTATATACTAATTAATTAATTGTATTAATTATAATCAATTAAGTGTACCATTCTGTGGTGATACACTTAATGACCCCTGTGGAGACAGTCAGCTCTGCTCTCAGTGTGTGAGSCACAGCAGCTCAGCTCTCCCAGCCTGCTGTCCCCTGCCTGCCACTGAATCAGGACTGCTCTGCTGCGTACTGTCACAGACAGCAGAACTCTCCTGCAGTCCCTTGCTATCGCCAGAGATAAGGAGCTCCTGAGAGATGGGAAAGGATGTTCTGCCTGCCTCCTGGAGACCTGTGAGTCCCCCAGAAGAAGCAGATTTCTCTCTGGTGACTGTAAATGTGCTCAGTATGGATGAGGTCCACATTTCTTTTTCCTCTGGATTGCAAGAGGGGCCCATTGCCTGCCTTCTACCTCATCTCACTATCACTAAAATAAGCCAGCATCATTTTCCATTTAACAGATGGAAAGTGAGTCTTTGTGGGGTTTTTTTTGGGTTTGGGTTTTTTTTTTTTTTTTTGAGATTTAATAATAGAAGCCATATAGACTGGAGTGGAGGCCCAGGGAGTGTACAGAAGATTTGGAGGCAGCTGTGGTCATTGGCCTTTGACATGGCCAGTGAGACACAGATGAAGAATAGGTGGTGCATAGATTATGCAGATGCACATTGCTGCAGATCCTTCAGCAGGGTTTCCATGCTGCCCCACGCRCTTTTCTTGGCCTGGTCGCTACTCACACATCTCTGTACTGTGCTCTGTCTCACATGGAGGTGYACCCTGGAATAGCACAGACCTCAGTAACCATCTGGTTCATAACAGGAGTTAGACATCACTAAAACTGGCCAGCTGAGGCACTTTTCATCATCTAAATATCTTCCAGACACACCTTCTGTCACTGTTCATGCCAAGGAACTCATGTGGGTTCACTGTCCAATAGAGTGTGAGCTCAGAAGGGGATCTAGATCTCACCTACTGCAGAGCCCTTGTTCCTGGCATCAATCCCAGGGGCTTGAGCCTGCCTACAGTCTCTCTCCCAGAAGGCTGTCCAGTCTTTGAAGACAGTACAGCCKAGACGCAGCCTACCCTACTTCAGACACCCAGAAGTATATGATCTGCTCTAGTCTAGGATACTGCTCCACCTCTGCACAAGGAAGTGTCGCCAGAGGTGCCATACAYCTTTGATTGAGAAATCACCACTTTCTGTAGCAACTGGGCACTGTTCTGTCACCGCTGAATAACCAACATTTCTCATTTGGGTTTGTCTGGCTGCAGCTTCCAGATCTAGCTGCCTTTGTTATACTTTTCTTCACCAGGTCATTTTTTCTCCCAAGGGTCCTGGAACAATGTAATCCCTCTGCTTCCCAAACGTTCCGCTCCTGAAGACTAAGTTTTTTTGTCTTTCACTGAATTTACTCATGTTGTCAAACACTATTAATGGTTCTTTTCTCCAACTGTTTGGTTCCCCAGAAGTAGGCATCTATTTGCGTAAGCCCACTAGGCCAAYGATCTCCTGACAGGCAGGAGCTGCAATCTCTTTCAGCTCTCCTGTTAGTCACAGCTTGTTAACAAAGTTTCCACTGCAGATCATTAGTCGGCCTTGGAAAGGATGATAGCTGCGGGCCGAGTTTGCAAGATCAGGCTATAAAACTTATTTAGGAATGGAGAAGCTTGCCCTAAGGCTCAGAAGAGGGCCTGCATCCCAAAGCCCCATCCAGTCCAGTGTCTGCAGGACCTCTCTTGCTATTCTTGGGTTTCTGTAATCCAGAACAGCTGTTCTCTCCAAGAATTGTGTTTACAGATACCCCTGGTCCTGAACTGATGCTTTCCATTTGGCCTTCTAGACTCAGCTGCAGAGGGGTCCATTCAATCTACTCAAATGAAGCTGAAAAGAGCCCGACTGGCAGATGATCTCAATGAAAAGATTGCCCTCAGGCCAGGTCCTTTGGAGCTGGTGGAGAAGAATATTATTCCTGTCGACTCAGCTGTGAAAGAGGCCATAAAAGGTAGCGGAAGTAAATGTGTGTTTTGTGCTGTGCGAGGTCACAGCACAGGGCACGGGCTGGCAAGGTTCACAGGATGTRTAGTAGAGACTGCAGGAAGTGGCCAATGCAGCATTAAGAGCAACACTTACACATTACTTAGATTGTGTTATTTTATTTTATTAGTGARCATCTCACTCCAGCAAAACCTGTTTTATCATATCTGGGCTTATGAAAAGGGAGGTCTCATCTTCTCAGAGCAATAACCGTGGACATATGCATGATTTTTCAGCCACATCCCATGTCTTCTTTCTTATATTCTTCCCTCTGCAAGCTTTGGGCACACAAACAGTATTGCTGGGGAAAGGTCATTCCCTCCAGTATCTCACACAAGGAGAAGGCTTGGATGCCCATATGTGATTGCTGGATTCTCCCACTATGCCCTGCCAATCATTTAGTTTCTTTAGGTCATTTTTCTCCATCAGCTATCTGCCAGCTTATGGAGGGACACAGAACCTCCTGCAGCTATTTCCTTCATGCTGGTGCAGGGAGGTCAGTGCAGGAGTTGACACAAATCAAAAAGGTGATTCAGATGCCCCCAAGGCCCAGTGATGTGATAGGGAGATCCAAAAGCAGAGGAGTGACAAGCCAGCAGGATCCTGCAGTGTCAGCCCAGCAGTCCATGTTTTTGAAGCCTGAGGCCACCTGAGCCTCAAATTGGCTCTTAGTATTCACATCAGGCACTAGGAACTGCTGTGCTCCCAAGGAGCTCCACATTCAGTTGGTCCTGGTTCTTAACTTTGTTCAGTTATCTCCATGGCCATAATTAGGCACTGAGCGTTCACCTGGGATTCCAAACAAGCTAAGGATAATGTCAGGGCTCCGGAACAGGGGGTGCTCTTTGAACAATGGTGCAAAAAAATGGAAATTTGAACAGGAAGCACTTCAGTTTGTATTTCATATCAGAAATGAGTGAGATATCCCAGGCTCAGACACCCCTCTTGCTTGTCCCACAATTGTTCCTGCTCTTTATTTTCCTGCTGCAAAGTGCACGCAGAGTACATACAGCGGTTTCTTTAGTCTGGTTCCTGAGCCACTCCATGCTCACTGTTTTGCAGCTCTTGTCTTTGAAGGTGAAATGTTCCAGGGCTTGGCCTGAAGAGGAATTTTTAAGGAGAGTTCAAGCAAAATCTCCTCAGCCACTTATTGAAGGAGAGAAGAGTGAAAAAACATTAAAAAATCCCCTCTTTATAAACATTTGAGGCAGTTTGAGCAAGACTTTATCCACTGCAGCTGAAGCTTGGAGGCTGGGCAAGCATGTTTGAAGCTTGAACAGAGTTTCTATCCAGCTGTCTTGTCAGGAGCTTGTGATAAATAGAGATTTACAGGACAAAATCGTTAAAAACAAAAAGTCTGGCTTAAAGGGATTTGCTCAATTTTGAAATTTCTCTATTTCATAATGGCCTTCTAGTACATTGCTAGGGAAAAATGTGTCCTATAAGCTCTTTTTATCCCATTTGGGGTGAAAATATCGGGGTGAAAAGATTTCGTGCTGCTGGGTGCCACGAGGAATGCACCTGTACCAGGAGCACAATCTCAGACCTCAGGTTTCTGCACTAGAAAGTCTCAAGCTGAAGGGTCCTTGAGTTGATTTCTGAGCGAGAGGCATATTGTGGCACTCRCAGTTTGGGGCAGCAAGTTAAACGCTGAGCAGAGATGAGCACTGGCACTTCTGAACTTTAAGCCTTTTGTTTTTGCAATACCAGAAAGATGACAGGGTTTAAAATCATTTTACTTTAACTTTGGAATCTCAACTGTTTATACAGTGGAAAGTTCAGTTGACGTGTTCCTCTAATCACCTCCGGCAGGGCGAGCAGAAAGTGCCAGACCCCAACCGAAAGCCCTAACGTCTCAATGACAGGAGGCCGCCAGTGCCCTGCATAGCTGAGCAGTGATATAAGAACCCTTTTTTACCAGGTCCTTGTCATCACTTTGTCCAAGATGCTTGAAAGGACAATACCCAGTGCATTAGAAACAGGCCCAAGCAAACACCATTCTGCCTAAGATTACAGCACAGACATCGGGTCATGAAACAATACGGTCAGCCCCAAGCTGTACGAGRGCAGGACAGATAAGGCCAGCATTCCCCACTCCACACAGGTCTCTGGTATCAAGAATCAGGATGCAGCACATTCCTGAAGTGCTCTGGGCTGCCACTGTGTCCTGACAGTCCCTTTGGCTCCCTACTTTTGTGTGTCTTCTCTCTCATCACATTCCACTTACCTGTTTACTGGACCTGGACTCTCATGGTGGCAGAGTTAGGAATCAGTACAGATTATCCAGAGATGAGGTAGAGCTGAAGTACCAGAGGCAGAGAATTGGCACTGTGCTTCTTAAAGCTCTGTGCTGGATAACACCCTCTTCTGCCCTTGGGAACCTCGCAGGCCCTCAAGTCCTCCTTGCCTGGGTTGGAAGACCTGAGAGAGGATGCCCTCTCTTTTCTTCAGACATGGGAGGAGTCAGTTTCTATCAGGAGGGAAAACAATGCCAGCTTTACACATTCTCAGGGAAAACCTAAACTGAGTTTTACATCTGAAAACAACTGTAGCAGAGAGGAGGCAGTCCCTATAGCTCAGCAGCTCTGAGAAACCTCAGGCCCTGGCATCTAGATGGACAGAGGATCTCTACAGGACAGTTACTCTCAAATCCTTATGTTTGTATTCCCTCAGAGCTGACATGGGGACAGCATTATTGGGCCATTAGCATTTCCCTACCCAACAGAGCAAGTATTCCTGAGCACCAGGGTTCCTGTGGAGACTGGTGATGGGTGGGCACTGGTGACAYCTGTGGAACTCAGGATAGGGACAGGCATGGCCAAGAGCTTGGATGTGAGCCATGCTTGGATATCAGTAACTTAGATCTCTTCACAACCCAATCCTGTCAGATGTAAGCTTGCCATCCATAGGTCTCTAGCTGAAGGTGGCTGGGTAGCAGACTGGGCATGGGCATGGGGAGGTTGAGCCAGGACATCCGGCTTCCTCAGTGYCACCATGGTATTGTGAGCCAGAGCAATCAAAGATAACCTTTATCTCTCAGATGGGGCAGAGGTCAGAGCATAAGGGTACGTGTCAGTGAGAAGGTGCACATTGCTAGGCCGTTGCTGGGCCAGCAAGGCAAATGGGTGGAAGCATGTCCCCAGGCCCTTCCTATTTCCCTGTTTGTCACCTCACTATCAGAGTGCCAAGTTGCCTGACAAAGGCCAGATGTGAGCATGAGGAGATTATGAGCACAGTGACACTACTCCTTCCTCGCCCCCCCACCTGTAGTCCTCCCAAAGCTCACACGAGCTTTTCTTTTTCAGCACTTTATCAGTACAAGCCTGGGGTCAAGAGATCTCGCCAATTGACTAGCAGATATGGTGCTGGGAGCCTTGCAGAGGGGAGAAGCAATGCAGGCGGCAAGCCCTATTGGCAGTTAGACGGTGATTGGCAGTTAGACGGTAGTGATTTAAAACACTGAATTCATTGACAGACACAGGATCTGGAAGGCAATATTTAATTTCAGCCGGGTTCACCCAAGCACTGTCTCCTCTGCCGTGAAAGGATAGGTCACTCTCCACATGGATTTCAACCTCAGTTGAAATGGACAGGTCAGGGTCCCATGAGGACAAGGTCCCATGAGCTGAGGACAAGGTCCCATGAACTAAGGACAAGGTCCCATGAGCCTCAGAACCCTCTTTCTCCATTTCCTAAGATAAATTGTCTAGAGTGAGGGTCTAGAGGTGATGCCTTCTCCTCCTCTCTCTCACTGGTTTTGCTCAGTTAGCTATGGGTGCATGCCATGTGATGTTCCTTCCCTGTCAACACCAAGCTGATGCCACCCCCTATGCATGGTCTGGCTTGGGCTGAGGCATTTGAATTCTCATGCCACAGCAAGATACGGAAAAGCTGGACACATGAGGAGCAGAACTGGTCTCAGGGCCTTCCCCACAGGTGGACAGCCATGCTGCCATCTGACCACCTCAGCCCTCTTGTTGGGGACAGGCGAAGTCCCGGTAGACTCATTCCTGACAGTGAGTCCAAAAGCCCGTTCAATTGGGGTAACTGAGCTCTGCAGCCAGCAGGAAGGGACAGGTAGACACTGGCATGCCCTGGGGAATGCTGACAGACAGGTACAGTCCAGGACTCATCTGACAGGTCTCCATCACCTTTGTCTTGCCTGTTTAGGTACCCAGGTGAACTTCTCCAAGTCATCTGATGCATTTGCATTCGAGGAGGACAGCAGCAATGACGGCCTATCCCCGGAGCAGGCCAGGAGCGAGGACTCCCAGGGCTCCACGGAATCATCAGCAGGCACTAAGCCCTCAGAACCAGCTTCTTCTGCCCCCTTGGGGACATCCCAGGTAGATAAAGCCAACCTGCCAAGGAATGGCAGCTCTCAGGTGCCTTGGTGAGGTTCAATTTTCTGCTCCATGGAGCAACGACAGGCAAGGACACAGAGGCAAGAGTCCCTACCCAAGCAAACTCACAAGCCTCACTGGGGTCTCAGTATCCCCATCTCCATGGCAGACCTTCCTGGGACGTGTGCACCACTTGGTGACTTAGAGTGTCCCTTCACGTCCTGGGGGCCGGAGGGAGATGCACTTTTCGCCCTCCACCCACCACCCAGGCAAGTTTATGCCCTCAGAAAGGGCGAGTGCAACCCAAGAGTCGCAGGGATGAAGAGAGATCAAAGTGGCTGCCACCCTTGGTATCAGGGCCTCTCCGCCCAGCACCTGTAACCCTTGACCCATGCAGCACGCAGCTGCCTAAGCCACTTTTGCCCAATTTTGACCTATTTCCCGAGCGGCTGCAGCTGTGGCAGGGGCTGCTGCGAGTTCCTGTCGGGACCTGCTTGGCCACCCACTCTCCCCTCGCTGCTGCGACGTCCCCAGCGCTGCTGGGTGCGAATACTCCCAGATGCCAAACGTTCACAGTTGGCCTCGATGATCTTGAAGGTCTTTTCCAACCCTAATGGCTCTGTGATTCCATAACGATTCTGTGATTCGCAGTGCCCCGCGGCAGAGCGGGGTGACCCCGGCCCCGGCCTCGCTTCCCGGCCCGGGCCCAAGGGCCCCGCCGAGGCCGGCGCCATGAGCGGCCCCGCGGCGCCCCCTGCCGGCCCGCGGGCTGAGGGGAACTGGGCGAGGCTGGAGCAACCTGCAGGGAAACTGGGATTTGCTGCGGGGTGCTACGAGGACTGGGATGGACCCAAGCRCTGTGATACGTTTCAGGGACTGGGGGAATGAGCATCTGGGATTAGAGGTGCAAGGGTGGCCTGGGACCCGGGTGTCATGCTGGGTACAGGAGAACAGACCTTGCAGTGGGTTGCACGCTGCAACGAGCCCGCCGGAGCCCACACCGGAGACAGGCAGGGCTGCGAGGGCGCTCGGCGCTTGTCTCCGTAGCACAGCTGGTCTCTCCACTGCAGGATCAGCCCCCCGGCGCTGACAGCACCGCACAGGAGCTCAACTCGGCGCCGGGCAGCCAGTGCGACAGCCCCAAGCAGGACAGCCCGCCGCTGCCCGTGCCCTCCGTGGTGAAGGTAACGTCCCTACGGACAAGGGGGCAAGCCCAGGCTTCAGGGCTGGGTCCAGGCCTGAGCTACCCTCAYATGGCTGGGAGTTTTGAAAGTTAGCCCGTTAAAACCTGGTAGAATGTGGGGATACAAATGCATCATTGCATGTTGCAAGTTGGCCCCATTTTGTAATTATATGAAATTATAACATTGCACTCTATGRGAGACAGTTGCACAAGGTCATGCGCTGGGGCTAGGAACAGGAGGCACRAGGCACTGGGGAAAGACACTTCAAGTGGGGCACATAGTTCTTCATCTCTCATGGTCTCCAGCACAACTGGCGTTAATTGTGGCCCTGGAGGGATCTCCCCAAGTGCAGGCTCAGCTGTGCTTGGAGCTGGACAGTCAGGGTACCTGCAAAGATCTGCCCTTGCTCTGCTTCTGAGTTTGCAAGGAAGCGATGAGAGCTGTTCCCCTAGCTAATTCATTTTCTTCTTGGACTGACAGTCTAAATCATCCAGTGATAGCAAGAACCGTCACAAAAAGCCCAAGGACACCAAGCCCAAGGTGAAGAAGCTGAAATATCACCAGTACATCCCTCCGGACCAGAAGGCAGAGAAGTCTCCTCCACCCATGGACTCTGCATATGCCAGACTCCTCCAGCAGCAGCAACTCTTCCTGCAGCTCCAGATTCTCAGCCAGCAGCAGCAGCAGCAGCAGCAACAGCAGCAGCAGCAGCACTTCAACTACCCAGGGATGCACCAAGCCCAACTAAAGTGAGTGGCAGTGTGCCAATAGCAGAGTTAATGTCCTTCCAGGTTTTCCTGTCATTTCCATGCCCATTTGTGCCAGTGCAAGGTGACAGATTCATGCAAAGAAACATGAAGGCTCGGGAGCACAGTATAGTCTTTTACTTTGGACTCTGGTTGTGATATCTGTGGCCTACTAGTAGGTCCCAATGATMTCCCCACAGTCCAAGCTGGTTCTTCTTCGGGTTAGCAGTCCTTTGGGTCTCACACAGGACATGGTAGACCCAAGGGAGGAAAGAGATGGTATATGGCACCGGGCACAGAGACTGAGACCTCAGGGGGCAGACAAGTTACATCAGATTTTCTTTTTTGTTTCAGGCAATCAAATGAGCAAATGGTCAAAAATTCAAATTCTTCATCATCTTCTGTTAACAACACCCCTCTTTCTCCAGTGAAAACCACCTTTTCAGGCCAGAGTTGTGTATCATCTGTCAAGCCAGGTCCTCTGCCATCTAACCTGGATGATCTGAAAGTGAGTACATACTTTGTCACTGCAAGAGCAGAGTCTTATAGCCTGAATGTGCCTTGCTGTCTCCTAAGCATGCTGCAAGGTGAGCTGGCTGGGAATGATCATACGTTATAGAACAGCAAACCAGAGCCACTGGACTGCATGCAGGCCCAGGAGAACAGTCATACTGCATCAAGATTCAGTATGATTATTGAAATAATTGACTTGCTGCTCTGCAGGTGTTGCATGGGTACATTGCTTCAGGCAGGTATCAGCCAGTCGTAAAGTGTAGCTCTTGAGATGGCTGCAGGCATGGTAGGATGGTTTTCCTGGTAGGAATGCGCACAGTCCTGAAGGATGTGCAGCAGCCAGTACTGTGCACAATGGCTCACAATGGTGAGACAGTGCGTATCTGTGGACTCAGAGCATTGAAACAGGAGGCTGGAAACCCCTGTGATCTGAGACTCCTTGTTAGAAATGTCAGGTGCCTCCCCTACGAGGAGGGGAGGTTAGAAATGTCAGCAACCTGAGGGCTTGTCTGTGAGGGGAAGTGTTAGGAGTGATTATCAGTGACTTTCCTTCTAGGTGTCAGAACTGAGACAGCAGTTGCGAATAAGAGGCCTGCCTGTATCCGGTACCAAAACAGCATTAATGGAACGGCTGCGGCCCTTCCAAGAGTGCAGCAACAACACAGTACCCAATTTCAGTGAGATAACAACTGTCACCTTCCCAGTCACTCCAACGAGCACCTTGTCAAGTTATCAATCGCAGTCTTCCACCAGCATGTTATCAAACGGCTTCTACCACTTTGGCAGCACAAGCTCCACCCCACCCATCTCCCCAGCCTCCTCTGACCTGTCTGTGAGTGGCTCTTTGCCAGACACATTCAACGATGGGCCCATGTCTTCCCCACAGTTTGGTCTGCAGCCATCACCGGTCCACGGCAGCGCTGAAGAAAGCCTGATGAGCAGCATGAATGGAGGGAGCATTCAGCTGGAGCTGGAAGGGATTGACACAGAGAAAGACAAGATGCTGGTGGAGAAGCAGAAGGTCATTAATGAACTGACATGGAAGCTGCAGCAAGAGCAGAGGCAGGTTGAAGAGTTACGGATGCAGCTGCARAAACGGAAGAGAAGCAATGGCCTTGAGGATAAGCAACAGTCTGCTCAGCATTTCTTTGGGGTTCCCATCAAGCAAGAAAACACAGTGTCCAGCTGCCCGTTTGCATCCAAACAAACTGCCTTGAAGGGCCAAGCCAGCAGCTCGGATAAGTTAAGTAACTGTGGGGTGCCGCAGCTGCCTCACATTGTAAATAGCCACTGCTTGGAGCCTGCAGGCCAGAGCACCATCACCTCCTCGACATTCCTCAGCCCGCAGTGCTCTCCCCAGCACTCTCCGCTCGGGGCTGCAAAGAGCCCCCAGCACATCAGCCTGCCGCCGTCCCCTAACAGCCACTATCTCCTCTCGGTGTCCCCCAGCTCGCAGGCAGAAGGGCGCAGCGGGTCCCCGCAGACCAGCAATTGCCTCCGCACAGCATCGGTAAGTGGAGGCTGCCTCAGCTGGCATTTGGGTGAAGAATGTGGTTTTGTTTGTGGGCGTTTAATGGAACCTCCCTGCCCAAGCATCCCTGTCAGATTGATGCTGCTGGCATCCAGGATGGGCATCCAAGGGGTTGTTGGAACATCTGAGAAAGGTAGAGAGTAGCTGATAGGGAGAAAGGGTTGAAAGCTAGTGGCACTGCAGGCTGCTCTCCGGGGCATCTCCTGGGAAACTCTGCTGCCACCACAGCCAGGTGACTTGGAGGGACCACAACACAGCTCCTTCTGCCTCACAAAGCCCTGGCACAGCTTCATCTGCCCTGAAGAGGCTGTGGCACATCTGCTTAGGCCTCATGGAGCACTGGCACAGCTCCTTCTGCCCCAGAGAAGCCTTGGCATAGCTCCGTCTTCCCCAGGGGATGCCCAGCACAGCTCTCCCAGCCCCAGGCAAGCACTGGCGCAGCTCCATGTGCCCTTGGGGGAGCCCTGGCACAGCTCCTTCTTCCCAGGGGGTCCTGGCACAGCTCTCCCTACCTCTGGGYGAGCACTGGCACAGCTCTTTCTGCTCTGGGGGAGTCCTGGCACATCTGCCTCTGCCCTGGAGGGATCTGTCACAGCTCCCTCTGTCCTGGGGAGAGCTGGCATAGTTCCCTCTGCCCAAAAGGGTCCTTGTCCAGCTCCCTCTCCTCTCATGGGAGGTAAGCTGTGGCCCCATAGAACCACTCTCTSTGCCCCACAGAGCCCTGCTCAGCTTCCTATGTCCCTAGGGGAGCCCTGGTGCAGTAGTATAGGGCTGAACCATTGCTGGTCCTAGCAGTGTTAGAGGGATTCGACCACTGGATTGAAGGCATGCAGTTACCCCACTTCTTTGGGAGGCATTTTCTTGGGAAGACAAAGCAGACCTGGCACTGAAATGTGCAGTCATGGGAGAGCTTGTGGCACCCCCAGCACACGCTACCAACATCTGAGAGCTGTCCCTTCAGCATCCACCACTCCTTACTCACCAGCTGGACTGGTGTGAAAGCTGGCAGGCATGCAAAAGCAACCACAGGATGAGCAGCACAAGGTGCACAGTCCCTCCCCACACTGTATATTGATCCTACCAGAGCTTTTCAGGCAGCAGGAGAACCCACCATGCGCTGTGTAGAGCACACTGCCCTCACCACGGCGCAAGGTCCGTCACGGATGTGCACAAGTGTGTGCTGGGTACATGACAGCYGCACAGCACACTGCAAAACACCCAGCGCTAGAGCAGGACAGCTCGTGAAATGCATCCCCACATTTCAGACGCCAAGCAGCGTGCAGTGGTGCACTGGAATGGAGTACAGTGCCACAGAGGTGAGATAAATGGTGAGATGCTTGGTGTTGCCTCCAAGCCGCTCAGGGGACAGTGATGCGAATGAGACAGGCAGCTTGGCACTGTCCTGTCACACAGGACTGTGCTTTGGGTGTGACAGAATGTGAGGGACAAYGAGCAGCTCTCCCTCTTACTTTGCACATTCACCAGTCCCCTCTGAGGGATGATGTCTATGGCCAGGTCTCATGCAATGACCAGTGGGCAACCCAGCCCTGGACCTCACTGGTTTCCTCAGAACTAACTTAAAGGTTGTAGTTTACCTAYCTGCCTCCTGCCCAGATGCCTGGCACCTGCCCTGTTTCATCTAATTTGACCTATAACATCATTCATTTTACCCAAGTCACTCTGTTGGGGTGAAAGAGAACTGGGCCTTTGACAGCGCCAAAAGGAGCATAACCTTTTGCCTGTGCATTGATTCCATTTCCCTATATTTCCCCCACGCAGATGGCTACGCAGGCAGGTCAAAAGTTTTCTATTCCATCCCCAAGTTTTTGTAAGTCAAGCCCAGCCCTCTCAGAGGTAAAGCAGCCTCCACCCTATGAGGATGCAGTGAAGCAGGTAACTGCATGATTTTTTTTTTCTACAGGRCTAGGGCTCTGCAGGGTTTTCTTCTGTAGTTAGTGTAACCATCAGCTGCAGGAGTAGCAGCCCATTCTGTGGTCTCTGTATAAGATAAGGCTATTTCCATGGGTAAAAGGGGAGTCCATAAAATCTCCTGGGAGATGAGCAGTAAAATCTGAGTCTATAAAATCTCCTGGGATGGACTTTCCCTGAAGAGTTATTTGCTAAATACAGACTCCACCAAGCAATCAGATACAATGCTGTGTGTGATGTTCGCAGTGCCAGCCCACCCTGGGAATATGACATCCCACACAAATGTCCAGAAACTTTGTGGGGACTCCTTTTTGGGGGAGCTATGTGAGAAWCAGACCCTTGGGCATCCCAAAAGGCTAGTCACTGGGAAACTTAACCTCCTGTCTTTAGTCGAGGAGCAAAGTGCCCTTGAGGAACAAACCACCCTGGCTGCATGCCCTCTGCCTCCCTTAGCCTTATTCTGGAGTGGCGTTCCCACGGGGAGCACTTTCTCCATCACCCAGGAACTCTTTTACTTCTTGACAGTCTATGACAGACTCAGTGCCAGTTGTGATGGTGCCTTTAGGAAAGTAGAGTGATGCCACTGGCAGTGGTCAAGACTGGCTTATGTGAGCTGGCAGGGAGGACTGGAAAGTCCTTCCAGTCTCAGGTCAGAGGCTGATGCCCCAGCATTTCYCCTGGTGAGCTGCAGGCACGTGCCAAAGCTGGGTGCCAGGTCCAGGTCTGCGTGTCCAGGAGCTCTGAGGTGGCTGTGGCCTGCACAAGAGCACAGGGCCAGCTGCAGGGAGGGGGAGAACGTGGCGCAGTGCTCTCTGCATCCACCTCTCATGTCCCGAGGCCCTGTGGTGCTCCTCTGAACGCCACTGCTGGCCCTGTGTCAGCATCTTCCATGCATGGGAGGAAGCCATTTGTGAGCTCTAGAGCCACCCGCCTGGCTCATGGCCAGAGGGACCTTCCTCCTAACGTGCTCTACTCTCCTCTTTGCCGTTTGCTGCAGCAGATGACACGAAGTCAGCAGATGGACGAACTCCTGGACGTGCTGATTGAGAGCGGAGGTACGCACTGCTTCTCTGTTACCCACCAGCACTTGCCCTCCAAGCGAGCTCAGGTCCGTGGGGCCCAGCAGCTGTCTGGGTGCCCCAGTGGAAGTGCCCAAGTTGAATACCACGATCATCTGCTTTCCTTTCTGTTTCAGTGGAGGGTACGGGCTTGGGTGTACTGCCTATGCCAACTGCTCAGAGAGAAAGAGCTGCAAGGCCAGTGCCCACCCCCATGCAGAGCCACCAGTGTCTTTCCCCAGGGTCTTCTGCCATTCCCAGTGCTGCCAGTGCCCTCCCCTGTGCAAAGTGCTGCCAGGGCCCTCTCTTAGGCACAACCTTAGCCATGCACATCCCCTGTGATCAACTGCCAGTGCTCATGCCCTGGGGGCTGGGTCCACACCCAGGGAAGTCAAGATGCCAGGAAAAGGGAATTGGTTAGGATTTCCACAGGGTGAACTACACAAGAGGGACTCCCTCAGGAATGGGCCCAGCCCAAATGTGCAGCTTGGGGGCCTTGGCAGGGCCTCTGTGCCCTGCGGTGATGAGCGCTGCCACCTCAACCACCTTCTGTTTGTTGTACAGAAATGCCAGCCAATGCCAAGGAAGATCGTTCCTGCCTCCAGAAAGTACCTCAGATAACAGTGTCTACAGGGAACTCCAGCACTTCGCTCCCCAAATCATCTGCCCCCTTTGAACAGGTCTCCTCAGCCCAGCTCTCATTTGAGCACTGTCCAGGCAGCAGCGACACTCACCTCGAAGTCTTACTGAACGCTCACAGCCCGCTAGGGAGAGTCGGAGAAATTGCCCTGCTGAAGATGGGAGCAGAAGAGCCCCACTTCGAAGGGATGATAGAGGGGTTCTCTGGCAAAGCCACAGATGAACTGCTCACCTCCCAGGAGATTTTACAGACTCCCCTTTCACCCATGGAAACCCAGCTCTCCCCTTCTCCTGCTGACGGCTCTGGTTTACAAATGAGTTTCACTGAATCTCCATGGGAAACAATGGAATGGCTGGATCTAACCCCTCCCAGCTCTGCCACGGGCTTTGGCTCTCTTACCCCTGCAGGTCCCAGCATCTTCAACATTGATTTCTTAGATGTTACTGATCTTAATCTAAACACCAGCATGGACCTTCACCTGCAGCAGTGGTGAAAGGGAGGGTGGTGGAAGCAGGATACTGTATGCCCACAGCAGCCAGCACAGTGTTTCCATCACACCAGAGAACCCACAGGGCTAAAGTGTCACATTCAGGAGAAACTGGAGTCATTTTCCATGCATATAAACTTGTACCAATTTCCAGGTACTGAGAATTGACAACACAATAGCTCTGGTGCTTTGGTTTTCCTCCATCTACACATCCTCACTGAGGGTGCCAGTGCCTTTAAAAACACTTTTTATAGACTGACAATTTTCTAGAAATTCCATTTTGTTTCTTCTTTTTTTCCCCTCCCCCTCAGTTTTAGGAGTCACTCCAATGAGAACTGGAGCAGCTCATGACAAAACTGTGGGGTGAGGAGAGCTCACCTGGGAAGCAGCAGGAATCATCCAGAGGAGGACCCATTGCTTCCCCATTCCCTATTCCCCTCCTGCCCTGCTAGCCCATCAGGCAATACTGCAAGGTGCGTCCTAGCCGTGCTGAGACCAGGAGGTGCAGGAGCGGGGAGGCCAAGCACTCAGCCCAGCCCCGGGCAACCAGCACCCTTCTCTGCAATGCCAAACTTGCCCTGCTTCCTTCCTCCTGCCCCAAAGGGCTTGGGGCCACGCTGCCCCTGTCCCTGCATAGCTGTGCTCCAGGTGGTCAAGAGAGGGATGTGTCATGTGCGTGGTGGCACGTGGTGATGTGCACACACTGCTCGGTGGGATGCAAGCCAGGGAACACTCCCTGCTGCAGTTTGAACCGAATCAGGCTGATGCCTGTGACTTTGAAAGAGAGAGCTCTGGATGTGGGAGGCTCGGGCTGCAGATGCAGGTGTTGAAAGGAATGGCGTTCAGATGGAGCGGCCCCGTCCCCGCTAGCGTGGTACAGATGTGTAATGTGTTTTGGACCAGGTTCAGGAGCAAGGCATATAGAAAATACTGCAAAGCTTTGTAGGGACCATCCTCTGTGTGACTGGAGGAACAGTGGATCGCTGCCACCCTGCATGACCTGGGTGCCAGGAGAGCCAGAAATAACAGCTCAGCAACCTGTATGTGCGACAGGGCTGAGCGGGTCCTTGTGTGGCCACAGTTCTGTATGAGCATCTGCTTTCATAGTTTGCACCCCTCTGCACCCATTCCTTCTTCCTTCCTCCTAGTCTTCCTCGTTCCCCAGTAGATTCTCCTCTTTTTGAGTACTCTCGCATCACTGTTCACTCAGCTCAGAGCCAGGCCATCCAGAGAACAGCTGTGAATCACAGCCTAGAGGAGCTTGTTCTTCTGAAGCCAGCGGAGATGGATGCTCTCCTGCAGTGATGCTTCCAGTTTGAAGTCACCAGCATTTCTCCTATGAGTCTCTGTGCAATATCCTTCCTCAGGCTCTAGTGAGAAGGAGCCTTTGCTTCACTTCTTGGCTTCCACCAAAGAACTTGCTGCAAACTCTTTGACGGACACATCTACTTCTTTGCAATTCTGGTTTTGCCAAAGTAAATATTGTTGCTGACAAAGATTGTTAAACTATTTACAGACTGAGTGTATTTAATATTTGTGTTACTGGAAGGACAGCACATCGGAGATGCAGCAGCTGTCGAGGTCCAGCCTGGCCAGCAGCCCCGGGGTTTGCTCCACTCCAAGGGCCGCCAGAGCCGTCGAGGGAACTCCGCAGCCCTTGCTCTGTCTCCAGTTCTTGGCGTTGTTGCATGCTGTATAAAGAACATGGCAGTAGCTTTTAAGTCACTATTTAAAGCACCACTTTTTCTATTGTACAAATGGTCACAGTGCACCGCTAGGATAGGTAATCACAGGTTGTGTTTTTTGTTCTTTTTTTAAAACAGAATTTCTTTTGTAAGTGAGAGATTTTTAGAGCCGTTTCATGGAGAATAATAGCACTTGATTCAGAGTAGTGTTAGCAGCTACACTGCCTAATTGTACAGGGCTTTCCAGGTAATTTTCTCCTTTCAACAAATGTATTTTCTTATTTAAAGGGATGCTGTCAGCTTCAGACTTGTAAGCAAGCACATTTCTTTACCTATGTTACCAGCAACACCTTCATTATTAAAAAACCCTTTGTCGTGCCACTTGTCTGCTCAAGCTTTGCTGTTTGATTTCACTAGTCTGCAACAGCAACAATTCCAATGCAGTTATTTGGTTTTAATTCCATTTCCCGAGGCAGTTACAGTCCTTGCAAGAGCATAAGTCTTTCGTTCAAAGCAATTTTTTTTTTTTTTGCTGGAAAATTCCTAAACAAGCTAGCTGGAGTTTTCTCCACGTTTCTTAAGATTTCTAAAACCTTTTCCTTCTGTTGGCTTTGGTTTCACTTTATTCCTTCACAAATTCTGCTCTTYGGGGCAGCATCTCGTTCAAAAGCAGCAGTCAGCGCTCTGGACTGGAAATATGTTGGTGCCCTGGACAAGAGCAGTGCTGCAGGGCACGGGCCGGGCTCGCTGCCAGCTCCCACCACACATCCACGCTCGGGTAACAGCAGCATCCGCTTGGTAAGCAGCAAAACCAGGCTGCAGGTGTGCCCCAGGCTCACATGTACAAGCCCTGTGCACGAGCACACACTCCAAAGCGTAAACGTGCACACACAAAAGCCATCTGCTCATTACATAMAACCCTACAAGCCAATGCACCTACTCCAGATTGAGTAATGACCTTTCTGTACACAGAGGGCCTTCACCCTTTACGCTTTCAGAGCCTGAACGTGATTTTGGGAAAGTCAGCAGAGCTGATCTTCAGCCAAATAGCTCCCATTTTATTCTCCAGCACAGTAGTGGCTCTGTTTCCAGAAGAGGGAGTTTGTGCTTCAGGCTCCTGTTGCAGCGTTTGCATAGCTTCCAACATAATGGAAATTCAAGAGTTGCTTTTTTCTCCTATTCACTGGAACCCTTTCTTCTTTGCTCGGTGCCTTCAGCCATGTAAAGCAATGGCAGCTTCTGTGCTTCTTATCAGATGTCACAGCAAGGCTGGAGCTTTCTTCCTAAGCTGTGAACCGAGGCCTCTCTTCATTTACTTTGTCTGGTAGTCACAGGAGAAGAGTTTAAAGGCTAAAGGAAACTAAGCAAAAGATGAGTGGAAATATGGAAAACACAAATCMAAACACTCCTGTAGCAAGAGGTGATGGTACCTGTGCTCCTTCATGCTGGTTGGGTCCATTCAGTACCCAAACCCATCAAAAGCTCAGAGCTTTTCTTGGAGCTCGATAGATGGATAACAATCAGAGCATAGCAGAGTATATTTTCTGGATGCTATATGATGATCTGAAATGARGGTATGGTTCTGAGGTCAGTGAAGCCTTTGCTGAATAATATCACAGTAAATTGCAGTAAAATCGTAAAAAGCTTCAGAATATGGAAAAGATGATTTCAGATCCCTGCTTAGCCCTTCTGAATTACAGAACAGCTATGCTGAAAGAGATTCTGTCAAGAAGGGGATGCTGTTCAAGAGGAAACCTAGAGTCAGGCTACCTGATTGTTCACATAAAATACAGTGATATCCTGAATTGTTAYAAACTCTGCGGAGAGGGAAGTTCTGAGGATGAAGAAGCTGATGAGGCTCAGTCTTACATTACACTGGGGAATGGGGTAGTGCCAGTGGTGGCAGGTTGTTGCTCCTTGAACTGCTGGCAGGGAGTGCATGAACCCATACAGTCCATTTTAGCTTGGCCAGACAGAGACATAAGGGCCTTCCTCAGCAGACTTCACTGCAACTGGTTCTGTCAAAATCATCCAGAGAAAATGAGATAAAAGTGGCGTCTTGGGAGGGATCTGTCGGTCACTCTTCAGCACTGAAAACCTTTCAATGAGCTGAGGTCAGACCCAAGCAATACAGACTTGGTCATTTTGGTCACAGGAGGTCTTCCAGCTGAGGGGTTGAAGAAAGCCATCTATGCTTATTCATAAAAATGAGTGCTTGAGTAATCAGAAGAAACACTGGTACTGGTCAGGTATGTGTCCCGTCTGATGCAGTAGAAGTACACAGGATGCAGATCAAAGTTTGATACATCACCCTCAGCAGTGGCACAGTGACAACAGGAGTCCACAGTGAAGTCTATAAAAGTTCAAATGGGCAAGGACAAAGTCTTCAAGAAGAAAAACTGAGCATCAGGTCAATGGGACAGTTGAAAGGAACTGAAATAGCCACAAATAACAGTTCCTTTTACATGTCACACAATGGCAGGGAAAGAGGGAATCTTCTAATTCTTCCTCCTGTAGAGTAAGGAAAGACCCAATATTAGGATGGGCAGGTGGACTCTCATATAGCCACTAACTTATTTCAGCTTCTTATCAGTTGTGACTGCTTCCTTGAGAACAAATTCAGCATGCAAAGGGAAGTTGCGGTGCAAAAGGAACAGAATCCATGAAAAGCTCAGATTCATGGAGTAAAGGCTTGTAAGGTGAGATGAATCTTCCAGGATCTGACCAACAGGTAAAGGCTCCTTTCCCATCATTTGTCTGTATTATATCTTCAACCTGGAGCTCAGTGAATTGAGAATCTTAGTGCTGGTTGAAGAGCAGGGACAGAAAGAGGTCCAAAAACATCTGAAGAACTGTGATCAGGACAGGAACATTCCAGGGAATCTTTCAGATGGTGGAAGCACTGAATCTGTACCAACTGACAGACTTCAGCCACTACTAATCTTCCACTCAATGAATCTCTGTCCAGCAGTAGTTTTGTGAACCGTGTTTTCTGCCTTCCCTTCTCATGATCAAATCCTCTTCTTCAAAATGAAGAGACACAGCAAGAGCCAATGTTGAGTTCCTCTACCTATTCAAAAACACTTCTGGTCCTGAACTGTGGTACGGCCAGTGCTCTCCCTTCACTGAATTCTGCATTCCAGGTGCAGTCCTGGAGCAATCAATCAGATTTGTTTGTGCATTACAGACCTGCAGGGCTGGTCGCTCTGTCCTATCACTGCCTTCCTTCCTAGGAAGATTTCTGGGGTCCTTTAACGCTGCGCCGGYCACCTGCCAGGACTAGGTCGTCCTAGATTCACTGGACTTCGCAGACAGTCACTGCTCTTGCAACATGAAGGAGCCTGTAAGGGTGAGGAGTATCAGCTCGTGCCTGCCCAGAGGCTGCAGCTGCCCTGCTCCCAGCGCTTGGGCATCACCACTTGCCCTCCTCGCCGRGATGAGGACATGGATCCACCAGATTCCATCAGAGCTCGCTGTGYAGCRGGCAGGGCTCATGCCAGAGGCGCCCAAGCGCAGAGACGAGCTGTTGAATTCCCAGCAATCTCCCAGAAAAATGAAATATATCCAGCTCCCCCTGCATTTTTCTTTTTA